CTAGCTGAAGCTGTAGAAATAAATAGAGCTATCAAAACCAGTAATAGTCCTAATGAACCGTCTGGAAATCTTGATAAAATTGGTCCATATGATTCCCTTTGCTGGTATTCCCACGATGGATTGCTTACAGTGTAACAGAGGGCAGAATCTGACCAGCAAAGCCTATGTAGCTGTTTGGGTATCACTATTTTTTTGCGAGTAACATGAACAAGTTCTTGCAACAACCTTCAACTGGATTAGGTTGCGTGGTGCATTGACGATGAGATGGAAGCAAACGTAACAGAGGATCTGAATTCTAAAATCACTGGGCATATGACCCCAAAAAGAAGGGCATATCTTATCTATCAACTGTCTGTGCCTCCGCCAAACAACCCAAGAAGTCTCACCTAAGCGGTGCTTTGCTCATGCATTCATGCACACATGCATTCATTATGACTGACCTGCCCTAGGAAGGTCCATTAAGCGGAACTCATTTCAAGCACAGATGGTCGTGAATAGCTTAATGTCTGCCTGGTGGCCAGAATAAGTGATTTCTTGATGGCCTTAGACTTCTGATCACATACATGCAGCCAAGGAGGAAATGAAAACATGTTTATCATTTTGATAAACAAACTCTCTCATTGCTGCAGGATGCTCCATGTAACTCAGCAGAGTCAAATACTATTAAATTGTCATCACTGTCAAAGAGAGAACGTATAAGTTTTGCTACCTGAGTCATAGTTAATGACTTCCTCAATGTACAACACAAATCAGTAGTGCTGTTTGCCTTTTTTATGTTTGTTTACTGGTAAGTTTAGGCTTGGTTAGAATACAGAGGCGAGTTATAATTTTGAAGTGCAAAATATGATTTTATTATTACCTCTCAGCTAGAGACATAAAAACCAGAGATGACTAGAAGATGGCTTTTTGGCTTCTGCCAGGCATGCACTCAGACCCTATAGATGATTAGATATTTTAAATCACAGCCACCCACAGTAAGCTCATACTCATGATATAATATTTCACTCTGCAGTGTGTAAACTCAAGGTGGCTTTATAAGAGACAAAAATGAACATGATTTCAGGAGTGTAGTGCCTTCCAATTAGAATTAAACCATTTGCAGGAGTAACAAACAGTTGTCCCTGTTTTACAGGAAGAATGATATATAATTTCTACAGTTTTGTATTTTGAGCCTATGCAGAACAAATACTTCCGAAAGGCTAGGAAATATGAGCAGAGTCGTAATACCACAGACAGTTGCCATCTTCAACAGCCCAGCATCCTTCCTGGCAGCCAGTTCTGTCCCTCTTGCTTTGGTAGGCTTCACATTTCCTTCATGCAAAGTTCAGGGCATCCCGTGAACTGAGCGCTCAGAAAGGGTCAGCTGTTCTTACTATCAAGTCCTGCTAATGTTTGGTGTGAAGAGGATATAAGTCATGTTAGGACATTTTCATTCACCTCCAAAGCTTCTTGACGAAAGAGCAAAGCTATTCCTGATTTGCAAGTTCCTATTTCATTTCTAAACTTTTTTCTTATTTTCTTGGGGCAGGAGGGAATTAAAAAAACATAAGGTATTTTTCTTACCAGGTGGATAAAGCAGCCACTTCATGAAATGTAACTGTCAACAAAACATTCAGAAGACACTTACTTAGAGGATTTTAGGGCCCTTCTGTCTCCTTTAAAGATCAATGGCAAATCCCCTGTTGACTTGAATGAGTTGGATGAGGCTGTTATTGTGGAAACAAAGCCAGAAGCTACCTTAGCTCAATAGACCATAAACTTCCAAAAAAAGACATTTCTGTTCTTTGTGACAAGGATTTAAACTTTTGCTGCACTCACAGCCTAGCAGGTCAATAATTCACATTTTTTCAGGACTCCCAGCACTGTAACATCTCGCCAGGTCTTCCCATAACCTAGAAGAACCACTGAAAAAAAATCACTGGTTCAGGAGCAGAAGTCCTCAGGTGTTGGTATTACAGCATTTCTTGGTGCTCTCTCCCCCCCCCCCCAAAAAAAAGTCAGTCAGAAAGAAAAAATAAAAATCACAGATTAAAAAGGTACTTCACATATACATCTGAACATGTTAACATTTTTTTCAGTGGAAACTGAAGATTGATTCATGTTCCTCTCCCCACTCTAACTTGTTTCCTCATTTGTACAGCTAAAATAGAGATTTCAGTTGAACATGTCTGTATCCCCCAGTATATTTGTGATATATATATTTCTGTGACTAACGTAATCAAGAGTGTGCATTTTCAATGAGGTTTTTTCCTAGTCTCACTGTGTCCATTTGTATTTGTCTGGGTACCTCTATCTCTTCCCAGTTCATATATGGCTTTTAAAAGGTCTAACATGTATATGCATGGCTGCTAAAATATATACCAGCAAAACACATTGCATGCAGTGCTATCCAGCAGTCATTCAGAGGCTAACTGTGCTTTAATGGAAAAATCTGATCCCACGTAACAAATTTTCCAGGAAAACCGGGTGTGTAACATGCATAACTTTCTCCATGTGAGATGGATTTTTTCTTCTGTATCAGCACTGGGGAGGGTCTTTTTATTACTGTTGTTGTTGTTGTTGTTGTTGTTATTATTATTATTATTATTATTATTTGCATTACAGATATAGTCCATGCAGATAAAAGTTCCAATTAATGTACTTAACTGTCTAGTGGTAAAACAAGTGTTTTTTCATTGCTTTTATAGTTTCATTATGTTTTGCTACTCCTAAACAACTATACACTTTGAGTTAAATTCTTTACTGCTGCAGCAACTTGCGCTTCCACATAACAATTAAAGGCGTTACAAAGCTCATCCACCACAACCCATTATTTTGAATAGATAACCAAATAAGCAAGACTAGCTCATGTGGTTATTAGTACTCATACAGCAAATTAATAGAGAAAATTAAGCATTTAGCTTATTCACAGATATTTACCACACAGCCTATGTAGTCTAAAATTAGAAATGCTTATTACTGCATACATTATCTTTATTGTTGAGGTTGCGATCAATAAAATCCCAAATCTTTCTTCTCTTAGGGCATGACCATAAGACGAATTAACCAATGAGAATCTTTTCATTGCTTTCAATATGATTTGGATGGGGGAACAGGGAATTTATCTGAAGAATTACTTCATAGAAAAATACAAGCATTTGGGGCCGAGTTGATCGTCACAATTCCTCTTACTCCTAAGAGACACTTAAAAGACCATTTGTCAGATGATGGCTTTCTGAATTGTTGGGATCTCTCTTCTGTGACACCTATTGGCTTTCAAAAAGCTTGTGTCAGCATGCCAAATGCACCTAATAACTAATACATGAAGCAGCATTTCTCTCCAGATGAGTTAAATATTTACTGCAGTTACTCTTGTCTCATGCTTGCAAACTCATCAGTGCTTAAGCCCATCACCATGCAACCTGAGCTCATTTACCCTAATGGACGTTCACAGGCTTTCATCCACTGACTCACCCTGGACAGTCAGTGGTTTGAAAATTTAATATTATAAAACATTTCCACACTTTCTGGAGTCCCTGTTCATTGGTAGTTGTTACACTACTTAATACTGCGGGTACACCTTATGGCACACCACCATATGACCTTAACAGCACATAGTGAAGGGAGACTCCTCCCTGCCCATCTACCCTAGTGCTTCACTACAGAAATACCACATTTGTAGAATTACCAGGTAGCTGGACTCGCTCCTGCGCAGGGAGATGCCACTGGACTCCCAGATCTTTTCCAAAATCCCTTGTTCACAGCCAGACGTGGATCAGCATCTCCACACTGCTTGTTCTCCTACCTGGCTGCAGGGTTACTATAGTGTTCAAAAGCTCCCAAAGTTGTTTCAAAAAGAAGAGTGAAAGCCAAAGATAGGAATAATGCTTTTTATGCTATAGTAAAAGCAATGTACAGTTAGCATTTCATAGTGGCATGGAGTAATAATGCTTTTCTAGCAAACCTAGCAAATCTTCTTACACATCCTGCTCTTTAGTAGGCTGTGCATCATGTTTTGTACTAAGTTTAAACAAATCCTGCCAAAGTTATGCCACAATTTCATGAAGTAGCCGAGTATCTGTGGGGAGCAGACTGGCACTATTAAATACTTGGTGATTATGAGCTAAAACAATCTGAACTGAGGAACGAAGAAATTACTTGGGCAGTGCATTAGCCCACTGTGGTGACTCATCTCCTTGCACTGTACTACTAAGGTGAATGGCAATCATACACTTGATGCTTCATTTTTGTGCGTAGCATATGCCACAACCACCAAGTATTCATAAACCTTAAGCCACCGTCTATCTGTCTATCACTCCTTTGTGTTCTCTACCTAATCAAACTATTGCAAATGTTCATAAAGATCAATTAGGGAGAAGACAAATTAAGCCTGGTGATCTTGCACTCAATGGGAATGTTTCCTGCCCTTAAAACTGCCAATTTAGTGAGTGGGGTAGCGAAGGGAAATGCTGTTGGACCATCCTGTAATTTGCAGAGGCTGATCATCATCCCCTAAGGGCTGAGTACTGGTATAGAATCAAATACTTGGAGAAAAAACTTATTTCTAGATGGATTCCCTTAGCCCCTGTCCTCGTATGAGAGAATGTTTGGGGGAAGAGGTCTCCAATATTACAAGTACAAAATCAGCCAACAGTTGTTGCACGTTTACTGTAGTTGTTACCTACATTTCTTCAGGCCCAGACCTTGACATGGCCATTTTTAGGCCAAAAATTTTGCTGATGTCAGAGAAGCTTCTGATATAAGACAGGCAAGCTATATCTACTCTAGAGGGACATTTATCTGCATTCCCTATTAAAACTGAAGTATAGCAGCACCTGGCTTATTCAGGAGCACGCATAATGGGAGAAATAACGTTGTAATCCCACCTGCATAGAAGCCGTGCAGAGACACAGACAGGAGCATGCCTGGGTGCTTTGATTAGCCACTGCTGCTCTTCCTAATCAGAGTGTCAATATTCTCTTTTTCTTTTTTTCTTTTTTTTCTTTTTTCTTTTTTGCCAGAAGGAGGAACGTGTGAAGTTATAGCAGCACACAGATGCTGTAATAAGAATCGAATTGAGGAAAGATCACAAACAGTAAAATGCTCCTGTCTACCTGGGAAAGTGGCTGGGACTACAAGAAACAGACCTTCCTGTGTTGATGGCAAGTAGCTCCTCCTGTATATATGTCTCTGTTTGTGTACCATCCAGTAAATAGCTTTAAGTCTATAGATTATGCATAGGAACCTTGTTGTGTTCTCTATTTAACAAAACAGAAAAATCTATAAGCATAAGCATACATTTACACCACCTTGCCTGCTACTTTAGTGCATGGTTCCGTGCACATGGGTCACGTTAAGATTTACTCACAAAAATGAGAGTATAGTATTCAGTACAGGCACTTAGATAAGCATAACAGATTCTGTGGCAGGATCAAGCCCTTAATAAATAACTGAACAAAATTATCCCTTGCGTCACTTCACAGGGCCGCCCTGGTGCCACATTAGTTTTAATTCATGAATAGTTCAAAGGACATCAGCTATTCATTTTGATTTAATTAGCCATTTGAAATGTCAGTGGCAAAAAAGATAAATAAATGAAACCTGTGGTCTTGTCCTGTAACAAACATTACAGAAAGCTAGGAAAAAAATCTTTGTCTTTTGAAGTCACTGGTGCTGTTTCTTGTCATGGGGATTTTTTTGCTGAAGGGAAAATACCATGTTATTTGTGTCTGGGTTTCATATCAGGTCTAGCTCCACAGGCTGTATTCCTCTCAGGGGCTCCCCTGCCACCGCTGCAAGTGAAACCATGCAGCAATTGGGGAGAGAGCCACGGCTTGGAAGTGCTTAGCAAAATATAAATTGCATAAGAAGATGGGGAGTAAGTGGTACTAATCCTATTAGTCACCCTTCCCAAACAAGCCGCTCCGTGTTGCAGAATCCCTCTGTGCAGCAGCTTTGTGAAACAGAGTATCTCATAAAAGTTCCCTGCTACTCGTCATGGTAAATGTCTGGTGCCAGTGTATATACCACCCCACAGCCCAAAGGTGCTTCAAAAAGCCAGGGGTCGTTTTGGCTAGAGTTGAGGTGGGCACTGCCCAGGGCTCTCCTCATCCTTCACGTGGCTGGATGTCTAGGGATGGCGGCGTAGCTGCAGGTTTTGGAAGCACCCAACATTTCCTCTTCGGGTCTGTCGTTAGGCATTCAGCTTCCCCCCAAGTGAGTGAGAAGGGGGAGCTGTACAAGCAACCATTGGGACAAATGGTTTCCTCTGGGTACCTTTCCTCAATCACATGCTGCAAAGGCACTAACAAGTGAGCAGGGGCTGTTCCAGCTGTAGCCCAAAGTTAGACAGGAGTATTGGTGGACATAGTGGGCTGTGTAGACAAAGCTCTGAGGCTTGCACACTCAACACTAAAAAGATGAGAGATTGGGGGTGCCTCGGAGGGATGAGAACCTCGTGTTTTCTCAGTAAGTATTTGTGGTGTGTACGTATCTGGTTTATATTTTAAAGATAGAAAGAAAATGTTTTATTATTTCAAAAACAATTTCAAATTTTTAAATTGGAGCAGTAATTCATAGGTTGTCACACTGGGAATGCGATTCAGCTTCTGAACTCATGACTAAAAACATGCTATGAATGCACCTGTGAATGATTACACTTTAATCCACATTCTGTCATTCTGTTATTGCTTAATTACCCTGATAAAAAGAAGCTTTTCTTTTTCTGTTAAGCACACTCATAAAACCATAGGTGAAACCTACAGCTGGTCTTAACCAAAGATCAGCTGTACAAGCCTTGAAGAATTTAATGTTCTTGAGCAGGTCATGAAAAACAGAGGCACTGAGTAGAGTTGAGAGACACCATTAATTCAGATCTCATAATTCTGTTCAGAGAAGAGGAGCTCAAAGAATGCTGTGTTAAGAAAAAAAGTTGGGTGCAGGTGTGGACTGGAGCCTAATTGCTCTGTCAGGATTACAATAAGAACTGTTATTGTCTGGAATTTTGAAAGGAGTAAGGATAAAACAATGGCTAATACAAAAGTGCAAAGCTAGTCCCATTGAAGTCACTGGTAAGACTTACAGTGACTTCAAAGCCAGCAAACGTGAACTACAAAGGAATGTCTTCCCCTTTCAAGTTTAGTCATTGTAGTCAGCCCATGGCTTCTTTTGTAGATGGCTGGTGAGCG